TTTCAAAGAACTCGGCTTTAAATGTGAAAAACTTGTGTATACAGAAGCAAATGAGCACAGTAATGTAGTGTTTGACAAACCAAAAGATCCCAACTACTGGGGCAAGAACTTATTATTTGAGAAAAAGTGTTAGGAAAACTGGAAAACAGTCTGGCAAAAACTAAGTATAGAGTAGAGCAACATTTCACACTGAATACCAAAATAAGCTCAAAATGATACATGATTTAGACAGATGCTATCATAAGCAAAATAGTAGAGTGTGGAAGAAATTAGCTGTTGAATCTGTGGATAGGGGAAGCATTCATGACCAAAGAAGAGAGGTTCAAGAAGTTCATAGGAAGTAAAATGGCTAATTTTGGTTACATAAAATCAAATAGATTTTGCACAAACAAAACTAGTGCAGCCAAAGTTAGAAGAAAAGCAGGAAACTGGGGAAAAAGTGTTTGTATCAAGTTTCTTTGGTAAAGGTCTCATTTCTAGAATATTTAGGGAACTGAGCCAAATTTGTATGAATAAGAGCCATTCTCTAGTTGATAAATTATCAAAGGATATGAATAAGCATCATATCAATAGCCATATGAAAAAAATGCTGTAACTCACTAATAGAGAAATGCAAATTAAAACAATTCTGAGGTTACTACCTCACACCCATCAGATTGGCTAAGATGACAGGAAAGGAAAACGAAAAACGTTGGAGGGATGTGGGAAAAGAGATACACAAATGCAGTGTTGGTGGAGCTGTGAACTAGTCTAACTATTCTGGAATGCAATTTGAAAGTATTCCCCAAAAGCTCTTAAACCCCAAATAGACCATAGAAAGAGCAAAAGGACCCATATGTACAAATATATTTATAGTTGCTCCCTTCGTGGTGACAAAGAATTGGATATTCAGGGGATGCCCATCATTTGGAAGATAGCTGAACAAATGATGGTATATGAATGTGATGTAGTATTGTGCTGTAAAAAATGAAGGGAAAGAAGGGAATGATTTCAAAAAAACCCTGAGAGTATTTGTTTAAACTGGTGCAGTCAAGTGAGAAGAGGCTGGAGAACAATTTATACAATGATAGAAATATTGTAAAAATGATCAACTTTGAAAGACTTGGTAGCTCTCATCAACACAGTGATCAACCACAGTTCTAGAGGACTAATGATGAAATACGCTGCCTGCCTCCAGTTAGAGAAGTGGGCTCAGAGCACAGATGGAAGCAAATTCTCTTTTTTTTTTTTGGACGTGGCTAATGTGGAAATTTGTTTTGCATGACAGTACATATTTGTAATGGGTTATATTTTACTTGCCTGTTCAATGGGTAGTGGGGGGAAGGAAGGAAGGAAAAATTGAATAAAAAAAGTTTTTGAAATGAGCTAATGAAAAGATTTCCAGACAATATCTTTCAGAAGCAAAAATCCTATGGCATAGTTTTAGAAAATTTATAATTCCAAGAACTTAGGTTTTCTGTCTGTTGAATTTCTCTTTCAAAACAATTTCACAGTTCATAACTGATCAGCTGTTCTTTTATGGTAAAGTTTTCCAGAAATGAAAACCTATTTGTAACTTCCCAAGTAGCAGCATGTTGTTTCATGTCTTTCCTTCTGGAGCAATAAAGAGTTAAAATAATTAGGTCCTGATTGTGTGCTTTTCCTTTGTGATCATTACTCAAGATCAATTCTTAGTATTTATTTGCAAACAAAACAAAAGTCATGAGATTTTCTCTGGGTAAGGCAAAAGAGTAAACAGATCTGATCTTTATGGCCAGATCATGTTTATTACTGGTTTCCAAACATGATAAAGTAAATTACATTGACAGAATTCATTCTTTATGCTAATACCACGCTAGTAGTTTTTAGTTTCATGATTTAGCTTTGGTACATGGAATCCATGCGTTCATAGGAGTGTACTCTGTCCAACAATTCGAGTTTTATTTTTTTTGCTGCTTCTTACCCTGTGTGACTCTTGTCTTTGCCTTTCAGAGGAGAAGTGCCTAATATTCTGAGGTCTTGCTTTGTTCTTTTGATATCTTTGAGGTATCAAATATTCAGTTCACTCTAGAGGTGACCAAACCAACTTTATTTTTTGACATACATGATTTAGCAACCTAATGAATTTCATTGAAAATGGATAATGTATTTGCTAAAGATGATGAGCCAATAACTTAGGATCATAGATTTAGAACTGGAGGGGACTTTAGGGGCTATCTAGCCCTACCTCCTCATTTTACAGATGAGCAAACTGAGGACAAGAGGTTCACTAACTTGCCCAAGGTCACAAAGTGTAAGTGATAGAAATCAGATTTGAACCCAGATCCTTTGATCAGATTCAGCATACTTTCTACTGCCTTCCACGTTGCCTCTTTTAGCTCATCCCTGCATATCTTATTTATGTCACTTATAACTAACCACAGTTTGCAAAGCAAGCAATTATAGAGATCAAAAAATATTAAACTGGGGTTAGAAAAAAAGGCAAAAACAGTCCTGCCCTTAAGGGACTCCTGTTATATTAGAGGAGACAGTATGTAAGTAACTAGATATATACAAGTTTATATACAAGTAGATGGGAGGTAACCTCAGGGAGGAAAGCATGATAGTAATTGGCAATTCCCCAGGTTTTCTTGCCACAACCATCTAGTATGACTAAAGCTATTTAAGTCTTTGAGGTATAATAAATACTCGAGGTCAGCAACATTGACCATAGCCTATATAAAATAATTTCCTATGGTTTTCTTTTGAGTGCATGGCAAAACCAGTGATTTGAAATAATTCTGGAGTATGTCAGTGTAGTGAAAAATCTTAATTACAGGATATTTTGAGAGAAGCATCTTTATTTCCTTCAAGTATACATAGGAAATGTCATGAACTGCTAACCCTTTCATATTAGATGGTCAACCTCATTCATCACCTAAATATTTATTGTGTACTTAGTCTATTAGTACAAATAGCTTGGCCAGGCATTGCAGATGAACTAGGCCCAGAATTAAGTAGTAGGGAAGATTACATTTGGAAAGCTGCATAAAGCTTCTAGTGATTACAAGCTGCTCCTTGACATACAATACCCATCTTTTGAACACCAATATTCTGGTTATATGGCTTTGAATCATGGAACACCACAATTCCTGTCAAAATAAGTAAACCAAAGGAAAATGGAGAGATGTGATAGGTTTAAGTAGGAATGATGGCTCATGTAAGAAGTAGTGTAATAGTTAAGAAAAAGTGAAACAATACAAAATTCAAATCTATAAAATATTGTAGATTTGTATTACCCCAAAAGGAAATAAGCTGGCTGTGTAGTAAGTCAAGTGATAACAGATGGAGAGCCAATATCGCCTAGTGTCCATGAGATATTAAAAGAACCAGTGGAAAGTGTTCTGGGTTTGTGGGGCAATAATTACAAGTGTTAGAGAGGTGATTGGCATCTTCCCCCAACACTCAGCATCAAATGCTTTCTAAGTGGATGGTTATGTGGCAAGACTTAACCTCAGTTCCATTTGGAGGTGAAAATAAAACTGAATGCACAGCTCATTCCAGTGGAATGTATTGAAGGATTTTAGTTACAGCTTATTAGATTTCTTATGAAAAGCAAGTGAAGAGACTCTGATTGCACCTTGGGTATGTGCCAGGACTGCTAGGTACTGGGAATACCAAAAAAGGGGCAAAAACCAGTCCCTGCTCTGAAGGAATTCACAGTCTTAATAGGGGAGACAACATGCAGTATAAACAAGATATATAAAGGGTAAATTGAGATAGTGCCAAAGGGAAGGCATTAAGGTTAAGGAGAACTACGAAAGGTTTCTTACAGAAGATGGGACTTTAGCTAAGACTTAAAGTAAGTTAGGAGGCAGAGATGAGGAGACAAAAGTTCTAGCCACAAGGGGCAGCCAGTGAAAATGCATGGAGTTGGTGCAGCCAAGATGGCAGAGCAGTAGGAAGAAATGGTGCACTCCCACCTCCCACCAAACTCCTCCAAACAGATCTAGAAAACATCATTCTATATATTAATGGGGAAATCTAAGAAAGTCAATGAGTCAATTTCCCCAACCATGGTTGGCACAGGGAGGCAGAAAGTTTTGTTTGTGAACAGTGGGGGACAGGACTTGGCCGGGAGTGCATTATGAGGAGCATTCCAGGTGCAGAGAGAGGCTGTGCACCCTGGCAAGAAGGGCTCCAGATTCACCACAGTGGGGCTAAACCCTATATAGAATACAGGAACAGGATGCCAAACCCAGTGCAAGGTCACAGATCAGGGCTGATGGAGGGGATCTTTGTCTAGGGATGGCTTTCCTGGATGAGGAATAGCATACCCTGTGTACTAAGAAAAAAATCAAGTTTAGAAGCAAGTAGCATCTTTGTGGTTTGGATCCCAAGTGCAGTCTCAGTTTTAGTTTGTAGCCCAGCCTAAAGCCTTCAGTAGAATAACCAGGGCAGGAATCCCAGACCACCTGTAATTCTAAACCTTTAGAGCTTTGCAGATGACTGACAGGGACAGCAGTTTTCTGTTGATCAGATCCAAACCTAGGTCAGAACTTGCAGAGCTCAGACCCAGGGGGCAGTGATCAGATTTTGCCTTAGATCCCACCACTCAAAACTTTCAAGTCCCCAGCTGAGCTGGCCAATTCAATTTTGCTGTTAGAATGACCCTGTTAAATAGAATTTTGAATTAAAACTAAGGAATTTAAACTGTCAGGTAGAATGTCTTTTTAATAAGCAGAATTCTGCCAAATTTCATACCACATAAAAAGTATAAATTCTATATATACACAGAATAAATGAAAGAGAATAAATACAAGTATTCAGAATATCATTATCTTTCTATCAGCATATGTGGTATATGATATAAGCATATAATTCTATATAAGTATATATTTTATGGAAGCATGTCTATATGTAAGTATATATAGTATATCATATATGTATAAATTCTATAAAAGCATATATAGGATAAATATAAAGAGAAAAAATAATATATATAACTAAAGTAGTTTATTGGACTTTGAGTAACTCTCCATTCACCTTTTTGGCGAGACCCCTAGATAATATGAATGAGCCCAAACCGAATCCTTAGCAATTTTTCTAGGGCCGAGGGGGGGGGGGGGGGGGGGGGCAGGTAAGAGAAGCGGGTGATTAGAGGCTGCCCGGGGACTGCGCAAGCGCGGCGGGAGGGCCTGGCGAGCGGCGCTTCGGGCTTGCGGCGCTCGTTCAGGGCCGGCGATGGACGCTGTCCCCGCCGCAGCTGCGGGGAGACCTTGCTCCTGGAGAGCCGGTGCTTCCTCCGCTGTCAATAAAGTTATTTCCACGCATGGTCCCAGCCCCCGAAGGGTCCTTCTTTAGCTCTCCCGCCGCCAGGCCCGCCGCCCGCCGGAGCTTGTGGGCCTGAGCAGCCCAGGCCGCCACGGCTCAGTTCGGGCGGACGCTGCGGCGGCGGCGGCGACAGAGCCGCCGGGGCTCGGGGCGCGGGGGCTGCCGGGCCGGGCGTAGCGCAGGGGCCCCGGCCGCGGGCGCCGCGGCTCAGGCAGCTCCGCGGGCGCCTCGGGGCGGGGCTGCGCCGCACTGCACGGGCCCATGTCGGCGGCGGCGCTGGGACTCCGGGGCCGGCTTCTCCCCGCGCTCCTTCGGTCGCCGTGGTTCGCTCCGGGCTGCCGCCGGAGCCTCTCAGCCATGGTGCGTGAGTGAGGCAGCGAGGGCGGGCGGGCGGCCCCGGGCTCCGGGGGAGCCGCTCGGGGCGCGGGACGCGGGCGCGGGCAGGCCGGGGCGTGCGGAGGGCCGGCCCCGGCTGCCCAGGAACCTTCCAGGAGTGAAGGCCGGGTTCCCTTCCTGCCGCGGGCCCGCGTGTCGGCCGCGTGGTTCTGCCCCCGTTGGCCGGGACTGACGTCTGACTGCGGGGTCGGACTCGGGGGCTTGGGCCCCGGGTGTGAATCCTACCCGCCCCCCTAGAGCTGAGGGGCTGCTTAAACCGAATGTCACCGTCTGTTTAAAAAGTCAGGTCAGGCCAGAGATGATTCATCCGGAGAAACTGAACCCTGCCGGCCTCCATCTGCACAAGCAAACTCAAGGAGCTTTGTAAGGGATTCATTTTAGGTACCGGTGTGTCGGAGCTCTTGCTATGAAATCGTTTCTGAAACATAATTAAGCTTTTTCATCAATTTTGCTTCTCTTGATATATAACGTTACGAATTAGAAAGTTCTATGTGAAGATCTGTACCATATAAAAGCAGTCACTTTCTAATGAGACCATCTTCGTGTTTGACATTAATGATTATTCAATGCGGTTCAGTTCACTTGTGTATTTTTTTTTTAGCATCATTTGAGGGTTAAGTGATATATATTTATATACACATATGCTTACATGTATACACACATTTATATGTATATGTAAATCCATCCATCCATCCATCCATCCATTTATCTTTTACCTTCCTGTCAATGTCCTTTCAGCTATCCAAAGCTGTTTTAAAATTTTTCCTTTTAGTCAAAACAATTGTTCCCCAAACCAGACTTTAACTTATACCACCACCTAGTGGTGAAAAATAACTTAGACGTCGCAGATCTTGTGCTGTTTCACAAACAGTATTCAACAAACTATATTTTTACACAGCTGACAGACAGGTAGAGAGTGCAATATACCATCGTGCTTGTTGATTATACAAAAAAAGCATTAAACACCAATATGCCTCATACGTGTTTGACATGTTTCATGTATGTTAAAATTATACAGGATTCCTTAAAACATGTTAAAACAGTGAGAACTTTGATGACTCTTTGATTTTTCATTTCATTTGAGGAGTAAAATAGGGACACAAATGCTTTCTACTGTCATACAGGTTGTCCTGTACAGATTCTACATGGAGGAGCAATTCTCTAGAATTATTATTATTATTATTAGGTATTAGAGATGCTCCTGTTCTAAGATATTGTGCTGTTTATATCAAGCACCAGAATATTGCAAAATTTCATGATTGATATCCATAATGTCTCAAGAGAGTTTGGCATAACTGTCTTAGGAAAAAACAAGTATGTGAAGAATTCCTTTTTTCTAGACTATGATATAAAATTAAATAGACACTAGATGAATAATGAATCGGGCCTAGAATTGAGGAGAAGGCGAGTTCTTTTTTAAAAAAATAGATTTTTTGTTGATATCTTGTTTTACATTGCCTAGATGCTCTTCAGTGTCCTTATTCTTACTTCCTCAGTCAGTCAACAGATTTATTAAGTGCCTACTGTGTGCCAGGCACTGTGCTAAGTAGGCTCTGAAGATACAAAGAACAGCAAATGATAGTTCTTGCTCCCTAGTAACTCATAGTCATTAGACATACAGGGGAGGAAACATGCAAACAGATCAATACATTAAAAAAAAATTGGCATTATATGTAAGGTTTCTCACCTGTTGATCCCACCTCTACAAAGGAGTGGGGAGATTCTTTTCTTTGGGGATCAAACTTGTCTTTTTAATTTTGCAATTAATTTTTGATTATTTTATGGTTATTCTTTCCATTTTCATTATTGTAATCATTATGTATATTATTTTCCTGGCTCTGCTTACTTCACTTTGCATCAATGTTCATGTAAGTCTTTCCATACTTCTATATTAATTGTTTCTCATAGGATAGTAATATTCCATTACATTTCATGTACCAGTTTATTTAGCCATTCCACAATCAGAGGAATATCTACTTTGTTTCCAGTTGTACAGTTGCTTTTAGAAAATTTAAAATACCTACATTTCATAATATAGTCCTCTCCTGTCCTCCTCCTAGAGAACTCTCTCTTATAGGAAAAAATTAAAAAGAGAAAAAGAACCTAGTTCAGCAAAACTAAGGGACATATCAACCAACTCTTACATTTTATGCAGTGTTCTGCACCAATAGCCCCCCGCCTTACATAATGCTTTAATGACTTTAAGCTTGCTTTTGAAACAGAGGCTCATTTTTTCTCTATCAGTGTTCTTCTGTGAGGGGCAGTTAGGTAGGGCAGTGGATAGAGCTCTGGCCCTGGAGACAGAAAGACTCATCTTCTTGAGTTCAAATCCTGCCTCAGACATTTACTAGCTATGTGACCCTGTGCAGGTCACTTAGCCCTGTTTGCATCAGTTTTTTCATCTGCAAAATGGACTGGAGAAGGAAATAGCAAACCACTCCAGTATGTTTGCCATGACTGAAATGACTAAACAATAAAAATTATTCTGTGAATACTTTATGACAGCTAGTCATGGAATGCCACAGTCTACAACTAACTTAAATTGTAAGCCATCTAAATTGTAATGAAGATGGGTATGGTAGGGGAGAAAAGGCTTCAATATATCAACAGAGGTTATTTGTAAAGGATGTCATGGCAGAGATGTATAACCAGAAAAGGAGGTGGCTCAGTCATGTACCTACACTAAAGCAAAGGATAACTGATAAACAATTCTCATACTTCATTGGTATTCATGCAATTATAAGAGTGGGTGGGCCCCTTCTAGAGAGTTTGCAGGTGGACATAAGAGTCAGATAGAATGAAAAGACCTAGGTGAGCTGTGTTGTAAAAAGGAAAAGAACAGACCCATCACAATATGTCACTTAAGGGTACTATAACTGAAACATCTCAGGCAAGAACCCATCTATTGTTTTCTGTTTTAATTTTTTTTCTAGGTGACATTGTTAAAGTATTTACAGTTATATTGTTTATCTTCTCTGATGTGTCATCAGGACATGGAGGGGACACTGGAAACTCAAAGGCTATTCTAGTGTAGTACAAGCTCTAACATTTAAAAAAACTCAAGTTGGAAAGGCTCTGAGTATGCTTTTATGGATTCACTTTGTTATTTTTGTCTAAGGACTAGGTTAGCTAAGCCCAGAGATGGTCATACTTGGTGGCTGGCCAGTGAGTGATGAATTGTTTTGGCCATAGCAAGTCATAAAGATCATCTAGTAAATCTTTGCAGGATGCTTCAGTGGGAGGGAAACGCACTGCAGGAAATCACAGATACTTCGCGTGTTGTGCAAGATGATGAGCATGGAATAGGCCAACTTGTGCTACATACCATTTGTTTGTAATGCCGTGGCTTGTTAGCTGTGATGAAAACAAAAGGTCTGCGAATTCAGAACTTGGTGTTATTACTACTTTCTTGTAAGAAGAAGTTAAGTAATTACTTAAATTCCTTTTCTGACAGTAAATCAGAGACAGGACTTGAGACTGCTTGATGGCTGGTCCTCTTCACTCTGCCATGACTGCCTCTCATATTCTCTAATAAAAATAATTGCTAAAGATTTGGAAGAGCATCAGGTTTGTTGCCATGCATACTACTGCTGCTGTGGTTATGTTTGCATGTGACCCTTTTAGCTTTTGATGGGGAAAAACTGTCAGTCATTCAGCTAGCATTTATTAAATGATTACTGCATGGCAGGTATTGAACTGAGTTCTGGGGATTCAGATAATGGCAAAAATACAATCACTGCTTTCAGGGAACTCACATTCTAATGGGGGAGACAATACATGAACAATTATGTGCATAAAACATACATGCAGTGAAGATGGAAGGTAATCTCAGAGGGAAGGCACTAGCGGTGGATGGGACAGGGTGACTGGGAAAGACCTCTTGCACAAAGTGGGGTTCGAGCTGATTGTAAAAGAAAGTCAGAGAATCCAGGCATGAGACACAAGGCGAAATGGTGTCAAGATGGGGGATTGAGCGTAGTGTACAAGGAACATCCGTGTAACAGGATTGTAGATTGCGTGGAGAGGAGTAAAGTATAAGATAACTGGAAAGAGATGAAGGGTCGAGGTTGTTATGGACTTTCAAAGCTAAATAAAGGATGCTATATTTAATCCCTGAGGAAATTGGAAGCCACTAGTATTTATTGAGTAACGGAGTGACATAGTGAGACCTGTGCTTTAGGAAGGTCACTTTGGTAGTTGAGTGAAGGATGGACAGGAGTTGGGAGAGACTTGAGGCAGGGAAACCAACCAGTGAGCTTATTGTAGTAGTTCAGGTCTGAGTTGATAAGGGCCTGCACCAGGGAGGTGGCAGTATGAGTGGGAAGAAGGAGACCTTAATAAGAGGTGTTGTGGTGGTAGAAAAGACAATACTTTTCAATAGATTGTATTCGTGGGATACGTTTTCTAATAGAGGGGATGAGGATGACACAGAGGCTGTGAGCCGGAATCAGCGGGGTCAAAACTAAAATAGAAACAGGGACCACTGACCTATACTTAAGGATCCCCGAAGGCTGTATTTACTCAGAAAACCACATATTTATATCATCCATGTTCTATTATATTTTTATCTTACGATTTTCCAATTACATTTTAATCTGATTGGGGCATGTTTAATACTGCTGGCCTGGGTGAATCATGGTGCTCTGGGTGGGAAAAGGAAACTGGAAAGAGGGAAGGGCTTCTGAGGATAGATCATAAATTCTGTTTTAACCTGTTGATTTTGAGACGTCTATAAGATATCCAGTTTGAGAGAGGGATCTCTGATTCTTGGTCACAGGGGATATCCCTAAATTGAGTAGTGTCTACAAAGTACATGCTACTGCTAGCAGGAGGCAAGGGACTATGGAATACATTCATCCCCACTCTGGGAAAAACAATTTAGTATGTATTTTGATGAGAAAGGATAGTAAGCATCATATTATACTAAGGATAACATTGTTATAAAGGAAACAGGTGACTTCTGAAAGACCTTGATTTAGGTTTTAGCCTCTTCCTACTTGCATCTTTTTTTGTAGTATTTTTCAGTACCTTTAAAATAAAAAAAAATAGATTTTTATTGATAATTTTTGTTTTTACATCACTTATATTTTCCCCTTATTCCCTCCTTTCTCTCCTCTTAGAGAGTGAGTCCTTATAACAGAATTTTTTAAAGAGAAGAGAAAACAAAATTCAACAGAAGCAGTCAACACATCACAAAAATTTCACTTTGTATTGGTATGTTATATGTTCTGCATCTGTGGACTCCCATCTCTGCACAAGCTCAGAGGGCAAGGAGAAATACCTTAGCAGAACTCTTCTTTGAGGCCAAGCCTGTTTTTTATAATTTTGTGATGTTCAGTTTTGTTGTGGTTGTTCTTTCCAGTTACAGCATTGTAGTCATCATGTACATTGTTTCCCTAGTTCTGCGTATTCATTTTGTATCTTTTTATGTGTCTTTCCATACTTTTATGTATTCATTGTGTTTGTCATTTCATACAGCCCAGGAATGTTCTGTTTCATTCTTGTACCGCAATTTATTTAGCTTTTCCCCAATTGAAGAACATTTACTTTGTTTCTAGTCCTTTGCTACTACAAAAAGCAGCGTCTTTAACATCAAATCAAATAGTGGAAATTTATGTCCTTAATGTCATATTGTTTTTATTGATAAACCTCCTTCTGTCTCACCTTGTAGAACGTGTGTGTGTGTGTGTGTGTGTGTGTGTGTGTGTGTGCGTGCTTATTTCCCTTGTCCACCTGCTTTGAAGAAAGAATAGGAAAAATTCATTCTTGCTGAGGTATGAATGAGTAATAACAATTTAGCAGATCTGAATTTGAAGGAAGAGACTCAATTGAATATCACTCATCAATGAGTAGGTAGAAGAGGAATTTTTTTGAGTAGGAAGGTGTTTTGTAGTATCCTTGAAATTGCATCCTATCATGGAATGCTTAGTGTGCATGTATGAAAGATATGAAATCACATATAAACTTATCTTATTTTTGGCCCATGTACTTTTTGAGTAGTGCTGAATGCTTGTGAAAGAGTAAATTACTAAGAATTATTTTCATGCATCAGAGTACTCATATATTAGAGGATACTATTATTTTTCTTTTTTAAAATTTTTATTCATTTTGAATTTAAATACAGTAAGACAAAAAAGAACATTTCCATATACACAGCACAACATAAAAAGAGGATTCAATAAAAAACCATGAATTTCACACTGTTTATTTTTTTTGAAAAACTATGTAATAAATACTATACATCATTTTCAAAGCCACCATGCTTTTCTGTGCTTCCTTCTAAGTTTTCTTTTGTTCTGTGCTGTATACTTAAAATTTTTTTTCTCCCTCCCCCTTCTCCCTGCCCTAGAGAAGGCTACCATTAGACACAGATATGTATGTATATGTGAAACCATACTATATATAATTTTTTGTTTATCAGTTCTTTCTCTAGATGTGGATAGCATCTTCCTTCATAGATCCTTTGAAGTTGGTTTAAATATAATAGTCAAAATGACTTGGTCCTTCAAAGTTGTTCTTAGAACAATATTGCTGTTGCTGTGTACAACATTCTCTTGGTTCTGCTCATTTCACTCTTCGTTATTTCTTGCAAGTCTTTCCATGTTTTTCTAAAATCAAGCAGTTCATCATTTCTTACAGCACAGTAATATTCCATCACAATCATATACCACAACTTGTTCAGCTATTCCCCAGTTGATGGGCATCCCTGTAATTTCCATTTCTTTGCCACCACAGGGAGCTGCTGTAAATATTTTAGAACATATAAGTTCTTTTTCTTTTTCCCTAATCACTTTGGGAAACAGATGTAACAGTGATAGTACTGCTGTGTCAAAGAGTGTACACAGTTTTATAACTCTGGGCACAATTCCAGATTGCTTCCCAAAATGGTCAGTCCACTTCACAGTTCCACCAGCAGGGAATTAGGGTCCCAATTTTTCCACATCCCCTCCAACATTTGTTGCTCTCCCATTCTATCATTTTAGCTAATCTGATAGGTGTAAAATGATATCTCAAAGTCATTTTAATTTTCATTTCTCTAATCAATAGTGATTTAGAACATTTTTCCATGTGACTATGTATAGTTTGATTTCTTCATTGAAAAACTGTCCATATCCTTTGACCATTTATCAATTTGGGAATGACTCTTATTTGATAGTATTATTATTATTATTATTATTTTTTTGCTTTTTGGTGAGGCAGTTGGGGTTAAGTGACTTGCCCAAGATCACACAGCTAGTAAGTGTCAAGTGTCTGAGGCCAGATTTGAACTCAGGTCCTCCTGACTCTAAGGCTGGAGCTTTAGGATCCACTGTGTTATGTAGCTGCCCCCGATACTATTATTTTTAAAGCTTCTTAACTTGACTGGACATGAATCTTAAAAAAAAAACAAACTTCAATACAAAATGCTGTAAATTTGACTAGTAAATTAAAGATATGTCCAAATTCTCATTTGATTATATTTATTCTCTCTTATTAGTCTGCAGAATCTCATTGGTTAACAGCAGAAGAAAGGAACCAAGTTATACATGACCTCAAAGCTTCAGGATGGTCAGAATTAAACGAAAGAGATGCTATATATAAAGAATTCTGTTTCAAAAATTTTAATCAGGTAAGTGTTGGTGTTATATTTTTGTCATCTTCCACTGGAAATGTTTCAGATGCTGTTGCTCTTCACTACATGTGTTGATGGGGATAAAATTGAGAAATCTGGAGAAAGAGTCAGTATTGATCTTTAAGTCAGTATGAAGTCAAAAGCTGTGCAGAGTCACTTCTCTTGAGCATTCCATCCAGGGCACCAAGCCTAGTAGGAAATAAGGAACAGCAATAGATAGTCAAGTTGGGGATTCAGATCACAAGGAGTGTGGAAGAGCTGATTCTGATTTAACCTAATTCCCAAAGTTTTGGTCTTTTTTGGAGTCTGTGTTCCTTCCTTAATCTCATGCTTCACTGACTTGTTGACATTTTTGTAGTCTGAAAACATTGTATTCCTTCTTGACTCATTCATTTACTAAGCATTTATTAAATGTGCCAGCCAGTATGCTAAGTATTGGATACATAAAGATAAAAACAAAACCATTGCTGTCCACAAGGAGGTTGTATTCTATTAGAGGCAATACATATACATAGATAAATAAATGTAAAATATATACAGAATAAATGCAAATAGCTGATTAGTTAGGCTTTGGGCTCAGTTGACTGGCCTCCCATGTTCTCTGTCCAGAGTCAAGATCTCTCCTTCAAAACTCTATGCTCAACTCATCTGAGTTCTCTACTTACATTGTTTCTTATTACCCATCCTGTAATCTACTTTTCCTGTTTGCTCAAATTTCCCTTCATACAATTGTTCCTTTACCGTCTCTTAATTTTCTTCCAGGTTTTAAAAGTTCCCGTGTCATTCCAAGCTTAAAAACTATACCTTGAGCAGTTCTTTAACTCTTTCATCTTTTGTTTGGCAGTTAAGTGGTACGGGATATAAGGACTGGGCTTCGAGTCAGGAAGACCTGAATTCAAAATCAATTCAGACTATCTGTGTAACCCTGGACAAATCACTTAACCTCTGTTTGCACCTGTAAAATGGGAATAATAATAGCATCTGCCTCCTATCAAATGAAATACTGTACTTAGCACAGTGCCTGGCACATAGGTATATACATACACACACACATATTTACATATATATCTATCTTTCTGTATAAATGTAAGCTACTACTACTATTATTATTGTAATTTTGAGACAATTTTTGCTTTTTTCCTCTTTGGATCTGTAGCGCTTATGACTTACCCTTCTCTCAGCCCACAAAACAGAGTATAGATATTGTTATGAACCCTATTCCATATTTGTTCAGTTATTTTTATGTCTCTTTATGTCTTTATGTCTCTTTAACACAAAACAAAGAAGTTACTTGAGGCCAAGGACTTCATTCATTTCAGTCACTTAATATAATTCCTAATGCCACCAAGTGAAAATAGGAAAGAAAAAATGTTCTCGTTGAGGATAGTATTTAATGATACCTGCTTTAAAGGTGTACTGTTACTGTATTCTGCGTGTCTCCCCTTCCTTTCTCTCCCCCCATCTCATCTTCTTGATTATTACGTGCTGTGTGGATAAGCTACAGAGCAGATATTAACTGTGTCTTACTCTTAGCTTTTTGGTATGAGACTTAGCCCTTGAAGAGCAGATTGTTACTACTGATTCATGTTATCAGGAATGTTTGGCAATGTCATGGAACTTGGTATCATGGTGTGCAATCCCTCAGCAGTAAATTGGGAGTTGGGTGTTGTGTTTTCAAAGTTTTTTGGCATTTGCATGTACTTGCACCATCATGAGTTTTGAATGAACTTGAATATGTGACAGTGCATTTTGAGGGTTGTGGCCCAAGGTGTCTGATGGTAAGTTACTGCTTTTGCACAGTTTTTCAGCTTGTGCTAAGCTTTAAAAAAACAAACAAAACAAAAACAACAAAAACAAAAACAAAAGCCATAACCCTGAAAGAAAAAAGAAAAATAGAACTTCATTTAACCAGAATCCAAGGAAATGGAACACTTTAATCAGCCAAAATTTTTTTCTTCATTGGACTTTTAGGAAAAAGAGGCAAATTCCAAGAATATAAATCAAGATCAGAGGTTTAGTAAAGAAGCTAACTTTAACAGTAAACCAACTTAAAAGGTACATCTTCGGTTTAGCAGCTCAGTCCTACACTTTGTGCACATATGGGATTCTGCAATGGTAATTGACGTTCAGAATATTGACCTCAGGGCTTTGCAAAGAATGACTGTTATGTAGCGTATATTGGCCATAAGGCAGAAAACTGGGTGAATATATTTTAGAAACTTTTTCAGCGACAAAACTTTTTCTTTCCGGTTAATAAGGAAACACCAAGCTCATGTACCTTAAGCATTTTTGATACTTAAATTTTTAAATGGATATGTATTATTTTCCTATACCATTAAGATAAATGGGTTACAAAATAAAATTGCGTTTAGTTTCAATTTTTTGGATCATTTTTAAAAATAAAATTTTATTGATGTCTTTTTTTTATATTGCATAAATTTCCCCCTCTACTTCTCCTGCCTGCTCCCAAAAAGCTATCCCTTATAATAAGTATTTTTTTTAAGAAAAGAAAGAGGAAAAAGAGAAAAAATCAGCAAAGCTAATCAGTTAATTGAAAAAATTGAAAAAAATTGGACAGCATTTTCAGTGTTCATATATTGTGAGCCTCCCACCTCTACAAAGGATAGGAGATGATATCTTTTCTTATCACTTCCCTGGAGCCAAATTTATTATTTTAATCTTTCATTTTGACTATTTTGTCGTAGTTTTTCTCTTCATTTACATTATTGTAATCATTGTGTATATTGTCTTCTCACCTCTGCTCACTTCACTCTGCATTAGTTCGTGTTATATTTGTTATTTCTTGTAGCACAGTAATATTCCAATTCATTCATGTTCCACAATCATTCCCCAATCAATAAATGTCTGTTTTGTTCTTTGCTACCATAAAGAGTTCTGCTATAAATATTTCAGTGTACAGTAAATGGAGCTTTTCTTTTTATCAGTTTCCTGCTTGGGGTAATTTTTGGGGGTATCTTTTAGTCAAATGGTATAGACATTTTAGCTACTTTATTTGCGTAATTTCAGCTTATTTTACAAATGGTTGTACTATTTCACAGCCCTATCAGCAATGCATTATGTGGGTGACTTTCCACTACCCCTGCAACATTGCTTATTTCCATCTTTTGTCATCTTTGCCAGTTTGTTGGGAGTGGTGAAACTTTAGGATTATTTTGATTTGCATTTCTCTTATTATTAGTGTCTTGGAGAATTATTTTTTTAAATAAATTTTTCTTGATTTCTTTTGTTTTTTCATATCATTGTAATTTCCCCTAGTGCCTTTCCCCTTTCTAGAGAGCTATCTCGTATAACAAATACTTTTTAAAGACTAAAAAAAAGGAATAGGAAAAAAAGTCAGCATAACTGATCAATACATAGAAAAAGTCTGCAAATGTGTATAATTGCACAACACGTGTGGACCTTCTCCCTCTGCAGAGGAATGGGGTGAAGTTGTCTTCTCATATTTCTTCATTCGAATTATGGTTATTCTTTGTGATTTTGCAACACTCACTTCTGATTTTTATTTTTTGTAGTGGTTCTTTCTATTTACATTGTTGTAGTTACTACATATATTTTTATTCGTGGCTCTGCTTATTTCACTCAGCATTAGTTCTTATAGATGTTTCTATGCTTCTCTGTATTTATCACATTCTTCATTTCTTATAGCACAAAGGTAATTCCATTGCATTCATGTGCCACAATTTGTTCAACCATTCCCTAGTCAACAGGTGTCTGTTTTGTTTCCAGTTCTTTGATATTACGATGTTACAAAAAGTGCTTCTGAAAATATTTTTGCATGAACAAGAACTTTGTTTTTATCAATCGCTTCCTTGGGGTATATACCTAGTCATGGAATCTCTGGGTCAAAAGGTATGGGAATTTTATTTGCAGTGTATTTGCATATTTTCAAATTGTTTTCCAAAATGGTTGTACTGATTCACAGCCCCACCAACAAGGCAGTAGTGGGCCTGACGTTAACTATTCCCAATCTATTGTAATTTTTGCCAGTTTGCTGAATGTGAAGTGAAGCTTCAGAGCTGTTTTCCTTTGAATTCCTGTTTTATTAGTGATTTGGAGCATTCTTTAATATTGTTGCTAATAGTTTGTAATTCTTTTAAAAACTTTTTTAGATAATTTTTGATAGTTTATAAGGATTTGGTTTTCTGTCTGAGAGTTTTGGTCTCTGATGTGATTATTTTTAAAGGCTCTATGTTCATTTTGAAGATCAGATGAGAACAAATACCTGTAAATCTATAAATTGAAACCTGGATATATATGCCAATTATAGGTGTGTTGAGTAGTCATTATACTTTAAGCAGCTACTCTTAGCTCTTGCTGGTAGTACTAGAGCAATGAGTTGTGCAAAATTATACTGTTTTTTGAGAACAGTAAAGAGTATAGTATACCATAATAAAAATAAAACATTGTGATCTGGTGACATGGTAACTAGCGATTGAAATGCTTAGAATGCCTGGTCCCAAAGGTGCTTGGCATTTGTAAATGAGTTTGGATTTTCTGGTCATCTAGATATATATAAAGGGTAAAGCCCTGTGAGTTGTCATATAAATCTGCTTTTAGGTGATTGGCACCTGCAGGGAGTATATATTGGAAAAATTTTAGTGGACATGGACTTAAAAAGATTGAAGGTGGCTAGCTTTTCACAGCAACACTTTGAGAAACTAATACTGTAAGAGGCTGGTAATTAATATCTTAAAGGTTGGTAGTCTTTAAGCACTGAAACAGTTATCAGAATTGATTTGTTGTTTATGTTTTGTTTTTTCACATGTGTAAAATCTCTCTTTGATATTAGAAACCATATATAGAATATGTATGACATTCTAATAGAAACTGAAAAATGCAAAAAAGGACTGGTAAGACATTGGGCCATGAATGATCTAGGAACACCAACCACATGCCTTGTAAAGCATTATTTTGCATATTATGTAGTTTAGCGTATCTGTGTGTACCAAACAAAATAAATATTTGTGCTTTGGCAG